TGCCCAGGGAAGTGGTACAGACGCCATCCCTGGAGGCATTTAGGGATGTGTAGATGAGACACTTAGGGACATGGTTTAGTGGTAGCTTTAGGTAAAGAGTTAGACTCAGTGATCTTAAGGGTCTTTTCCACCTTAAATGGTTCTATGATTCTGTATCCAGAAAACTGCCAGTCTGGTCACTTGTGATCAAACTATGAGATTTTTGCAGCAGGTGCATGGGAGAAATACTGATATTACTCAAAATTAAACCATAGCTCAAAATGAAACTGATAAAGCCTTTCTCATACACAATGGAGTGAAATGAAACCTGAGAGGAATATGATTGTGATTACAAAGGATATCTCAGGCACAGTACCAGGGTGAAGGAAAAAAAACCTACTTAAACACAAGGATAAAGAGTGGCAGTGAACACTGGGATGGTGGAACATCCTTTCAAACTGAAATAGTGGGTTAAAGCAACTAGTAAACATATTTTGGTAAGTTTCTGAAAGGGTTAATATTTTATCATTGCCTGCAGTAAGAATGACTGCAGTGAATAATCTAAAAGGCTCCTTTACTTGTTCCTTCCTTATAGAAGAACTTGTTGAGACCTGTTCAAGCTGAAATTATAGCCAGCTCTGAATGAAATGAATATTTGTTAAATTTATTTTTGCAGCTTTTGAAACTTGTCTTCAAGGAAAGAACACAAAGACTTGTACTGTTTTAAGATCATCTTTAAAGAAAAACAGAGAATAACAGCTACTTTTCAGTGTTAGAAGAAAAACCTAGATGCAGCAAAGATTCCTAAGTGCCCACTCGGCACAAAAGCCTTGCTTTTGTTATGGCACTAGTCTTTACTGCACGCTTTGGAAGAAGCTTCAAGACTGGCAATTTTTTGGTTGCTGTGCAGACAGTGATTCAGGTAATTGGTGGTCTATCACCTCAAACATCCTTTTGATTTCCAAATGTTCCTTTTTTTCTTCTCCAAAGACACTGTCTCCTTTCAGCATTTTCTAATAAATATCTAAGACTACACCTGACAGGCAGCCAGATAAGGGGAGGCTGTCAAATCACTTCTCCACAATAGGAAACCCACTTAAATGAAGCACTCTTATAAAGCAACTGTGTATTGTGCAGGAAAGGGTCAGAGGAAGATGACCCATCCTTTTGATTCATATCTGCAGGGTTCTGGCATTTTGCTGAACACTTGTTGCAGTTAGATAATTATTAAATTGTCAATATTCCAAGAAAAACAAAACATATACTCATTTTTACTGTGAAAATCATGCAAAATAGCTAAGTGTGCTGTTTTTGTTTGATTTTGTTGGACTGCTCAGTGCAATGAAATCACCAACTGTCAGATGTAATAAGACAACCCAATGCTTGGAGGCCAGAAGTATTCTGTCACTGTCATGCTGTGGATAATTTATGCCAGTAATCCTCAGGCACATCTGAGCAGCGGGACACACCGGATATTATCCTGCTGTCTCAATGGAAAATGTACTTCAAGGCAAGTTGGTGACAGTGCAATGATGGGATCCCAGGTGTTAAACCACCAGCAGCACTTTGAAGTGTGCACAGAGCCTTGGCTCTGTTATTCCTCCAAACCCATCGTTTAGCCCTGCTTCTTGCCTGTCAAGAGCAGGGAAATGCCATAAAAGTAGCTGCTGCTGAAGAGAGGGATGAAGCAGGCTAAAGACACAAGCCCTTACAGTAAGGAGATTCAAGAGACGAGAACTGATACAACTCTATTTCAAAGCTTCCCAGCTGCTGACACTGCATCTGTGCTAGGAAGCACATCCAGAGCACCCAGGCAAGTGGAGTCTCAGTTCTACAGCAGGACTTGGCATTGCCCTTAAGCGTCACATCTTTTATCTACAGTGTTTACTTTGCTGGTCATCTAAAAGTGCTGCATGCACAGACTGAAGCAAGAGAGGATTTGTGCTCTCTATGCATGACAGAAAGTCTGCTATACCAGATGTAGCCAAGGAAATGCATACAAAAGAGAATTACTAAAAGACTGAGTGCATAGGGATTTCCTTCATTAAAGTATACCTAAGGTCTAACTTTGTCCCTCAATTTTAAGACCTGGTCCAAAGCCCACTGAGTTCAGGAAAACTCTCCAGGCTTTAATGTGTTTTCATAACTGGAGCCTTAATTTAAACTATTAACAACATGTCTCTAAATAAAATTAATTTTATGCTCTTTGTTCATGGGCTGATGAATAACAAAACTGATACAAGATTTGGCCTGAGCAATATGCAGGTCTATTTACAGATTTACAAAGGAAACCTTGAACAGCACCTGCCCACACATAATTCTTGCTCCTGGCACTACTTTAAGGAGTATTGAATTCCTTCCCACCCACACATCTTTACATAAGTAGAAGCTTAAACACCAATTCGGACTAAACATTTTTTAATGCAGAATCCCTTGAGTGACATAAAGAGAAACACTGGTGTAAATGAAACCTTAATTTTCATCATGCTCCATAACTGATGGGCTAAAAACATACATTTTAAAACAGTGCATAGTTTATTTGAAGTTATTGATTCCCACTTCCAGTAAATTCTATGCTCCAGCAGCACATTGTGTTTTCACTGAAGGCTGAGAGCACCACTAGGTATTATTTAGCAAGTGGAAAAACCTTTCTGTCCTGAATGCCTGGCAAAAAGAGGTGCCACATAGCATGACTTCCAACTTGTCATGTGAGGAAGGGCAACCTGGAGCAGAATATCCTAGTCTCTGGTGGGCCCAGGGAGTTTCTTCCACTCGACTATGAAAGCAATGTGGCTAGGAAAGGTAGTTCAGCTATTTGTGTCACTGAGCAGTACAATTATGTACAGATTTTATAGAGATTGGCATCAGCTACAATGTTTTAGGACTCCATTGGTTCAGGATAGGTTGTAAATCACCATGCAGGAGCATTAATGGAAGGGAGAATTAGATTGGCCACTGTCCCTAATGTCCTGTGTATAAAAAGAAAGATAATATGGCAGTCTCTGATTCTATCTAATAATAATGAGAGCAAAGATGCATCTAATAGAGGAAGGTTTCTAAAACCAACTAATGATCAATTCCATTATGTCACTGTGACTACAAGAGAGGTATTCAACAAATCAAACTGGGGTTTGAGCTTGTCCTAGTGTTCAAAGGACAAAAAGGTGATGGTTTTGCCCTTCCCTTCAGACTCCACCTGCTCTTTTCCAGGACAGCAGCAGTCTGACATCTTTTTCACAAATTACAGTGTGCTACCACCTTAAAATAGCACCACTCGTAACCTGTATTTGGATATTGCAAGACCATGACAGGCTTGGGACATCTGGCTCTTCTCAAAGAGGCACCAACATCAGAAAGAGAGGTGAAACTGCCTGAGAGCAGCAATAGAATTGCAGAAAAACTGGCAAAAATCAGCTTCTGACACTACGGAAAAAACGAAATGAGCTCGGTGATTTCACTGAGATGAAAGCACCCACAGCATTAAGGGCAGGTCAAAGGGAGGGCCATGCTGAAACTCCACTTTGACAGGCTCAAAATGGGAAGACCACACTGCCCACCAGCCAGCTTTAACTCTGTCAGCTTCCACAGTCATTCCCACAGTATCTCAAAGAAATATTTTGGTTACTCAAAAATCTAAACTGAACTACTGCAAAAAACAATGTTGACCTCCTGGACCTAATTCATACTTCACACCATTACACTTGCTGCAGCTGTACCAACTTTAAGGGAATTTGCACATTAGTGTATGAGAGAGGAAAAGTAGATCAGTCATCTTTAGAAAAACAACTCGAATCTTCAGAGCCAACTGAACCTACACAAATATGAAAGAACAAGGATCTCAACTGGCTTCAGTTGATGAAGGTAGTACCTGAAGTCTACATTTCAAAGGCATGTGCATTTTGCATAATTTTCCTGCCTCTCATAAACCTTTTCCCTTGTAATTTATGCTGTATGCCTCTCAAATTTAAGAAAAATAATCAGTTTCTGGCACTGTTAACCATGAAATGGATTTTCCAAGTTTCGCTGCATATTAATAAGACCACTTTTGCATCCATTAATTCTATGCATAGTTATTTTACAGCATCCCTTTTAGGTGAATTTTGCTACAGTATATGTACTAATTCTGGATATTAATATTTCATTCCCTTCCTATATTGACTCATTGCATTATGCAGAATTAAAATTGAGAAAAAAACCACCTTGTTCAGGTCACAAAACAAAAGCTTAGGGAGAAACTATGATTAAGTTATTACACATAATACATGTGTATTGTTTTCTTTATCAGTATTGGGCCTAAGACTGTGTTCATCTTTCAACAGGCTAAACTATGATTTGCTTAGGCTTCTCTAAAATAAATGTTGAAAATGTTTTCTTCATCATATCTACTGTAAAGTCAGTAAGAGAAAAGCATTAAAACTTGTTTATAATCTATTCTGTAACTAGACAGCTGCTCCCAACTGGAGGACTGAATTACAGATCTCAATCAGTATCTTTGCTATAAACATCTCCAAGAACATGTGCATCTACTAGTTCTGCAGGGAATTTCCTACCCAGAGATTGGGCAGGAAGGGCACCAAAGACTTTACTGAAAAACAAGGAATTATTTTTCCTCTCTTTTAAAACTCTTCTTCATTTTTCAGCTATCAAGTGGGAGTCTTCTCATGAGGTTTGCTCAATAAAAATGTAAGAAACTGCCTGGATCTGTGGGCTTGGCCAGGCCAACCTCCAACACAAGATGGGTCAATCTTTAAGGTTAAGATTACACTGCTCAGGCTTTTGTCACTTGAATTTTGAAAATCTCCATAGACTGTAATTCCACAGCCTTTGCAGGTGACCAACGGGGAATGTTTTGCCTTCTGTTCTGCAAGGTTGAACTGAATTCCCTCAGTCAAAGGAGAGATGAGAAGAATCATCATTTCCCTGGACCTGCAGGGTCCTTCCCCTTGTAACCATTTCTGTTAGCACTTACCACGAATATATTCTCTCCTGTAAATATTTATATAATTAAATTTAACACTCACCAGCCACTGCTGAGGTATTTCTGGCAGAGGCATTTGAGGAGGTGCTGGCAAACTGTTGGCAACTTCTTGCTTCTGTACATGTTCTTTTACTTCTAAACCTGTGGAAGAGTAAGAAACATCACTTACCACTTTGATAGATACAAATGGGACATTTTTCCACACATGCACACCAAGTCTGACTGTCCCACACTGAAATCTGGCACACATTGCTGATCACAGCCCACCTCCCCAGCTTGGTTACTGAGGCAGGCCTGGAGGAATGCTGGGAATTCAGGAATTTAATCAAGCAGAGCAAATACATACTTACTCTATATGATAATGACATATATGCTGTTTGGATCAACAAATACCAGACATAGAAAAAAATGACAGGAAATCATTCTGAACTGCCTATTCATCACAAACTGAAAGACTTTGATAAAATTCAAACACATTGCCAGGCATCTATCATACAGATAAAACCATTTATTAGGGGAAGATACCACACTTGCAAACATCCCAATGGCACCAAATAGTGAGTAAAACATAAGTCAGCCTGTGGGCAGTGTGTGACTGGCTGCCTTTCATCAGCAGAGACCAACAACAGTTGTTCCCACGGCACATCATGCAGAAATGAGCCCAAGCCCATCTTTCGTGCCAAAAGAGTAGGAAAGAGGGTAGAAGAGTCCCTGCCTGCTTTCCTGGAAGCAACAGTGACAGCTAAGTGACCCAGCCCACAGTGCCAATGTTCCTCGTGCTCTCTGCTGCCACCACCATCTCTGATCACAGAGCTGTGTGTGAATTTCCCCAGGTCCTAAGAGATGCAGGATGCTGTGACACCCCACCCTGCAGCACTGCTCGGGGGACATTGCCCTAACCAATTAACAATTAACCATTAACAGAACTGCACACTGAGCATGTTTTCCTGCCACTTCTTTCTTCCTCTTTTGTGGTTTTTTTTTTTAAATAATCCAATAGTTTTCCAGGTGAATTTGAAAAGGAAAAAGGAGCTGAATGCAAAAGTTGCTTCAAGGATCCTTTGTATCACTGTTGCGTCTCACAGGGGAAATGTGGAGCAACCCACTTGTTCTGAGTTTTTGGCACAATAATTTAAATCACAGTTGCATCCACTTCATAGGAACATGATATCGTTTATTTTTCTAAATATCAAAGGGAGATTAGGGTGCATCTCCTCAATGTTCTGGCAAAAATTCAGTCAATGGATTGCACCCAGATTAACCCTAGACTGAATTTAGTTGAGCTTTTAAAATATATATCTACATAGTCAATTGGATGTCTTTTGGTCAAGATCACGTAATTCTCAAAAATGTAATCAATGATCACAGAATATTCAGAGTTGGAAGGGATCCATGAGGATCATTGAGTCCAACTCTTGGCTCTGCACAAGACATCCCTGACAATCACACCCTGTGCCTGAGAGCATTGTCCAAATGCTTTTTGAGCTCTGTCAGGCTTGGGGCTGTGACCACTGTCCTGGGGAGCTGTTCAGTGCCCAACCACCCTCTGGGTGAAGAACCTTTTCCTAATATCTAACCTAAACCTCCCCTGGCACAACTTCATGCTTTTCCCTGTATACAGGAATGAGGTCTCCCCTCAATCTCCTCTTCTCCAGGCTGAACAGACCAAGTGTCCTCAGCAGCTCCTCATATGGCTTCCCCTCTAAGTCCTTCACCATCTTCATTGCCTCCTTTGCATGTGCTCTAATAGCTTTGCATCTTTCTTGCAATGTGATGCCCAGAACTGCACATAATATTCAAGGTGAGGCCACACCAGCACAGAGTAAAGCAGGAGAATCACCTCCCTCAACCAGTTGGCAACACCTTGTGTGATGCACCTCAGGGCACAGTTGGCTCTCCTGGCTGCCATAATACTTGTCATTATACCCTAGTCCCACTGGCAGTGAAGTCATGGATTGAAAAGCAATACTGATAAATTAAACTGATTCTAAAGGCTACAGATTCTTCTTTCTTCCTACAAATCAAGAAGGGTATTAGACTTGGGAAACATTCCCTTTTTTTTTATTTTAGCATGACTTTCCCTTGCTCCCCCTTATGTAGAATGAATTCATATTCTGACTGCCATCCATGTCCAAGTCTCCCATACTTGCTGTAACAATCAGAAGTCGAATATGAAGGTTTTTTTACTGAAAAAGACTCCAGACTATTCCAAGTGAATACTATTGACTCTGTAAAACTAGTTTTACCCCAATTTAACCTATGGGTGTTTAAGCAAGAGCCCGCTCTAACGTTTAATTTCTTCTACCAATTTACTCAGCAAAGGGAGCACTATAGGTTTAGGGCATCAGGTCCTTTTAAGGAAAACAGGCAATGTTGACAGTCATTAAATGACTAAATCCAGCAACAGTTCGTACTCCAAAATAAACTCCTTCGGTCTTTGTTTTTTAGAAGAAAGTCTCAGATTTAGAAGGAAACGCCAAGTGTTTTCTTCAGACCTACAATCCATTGGTCATGCCAAGGCTCAGAAAGGAAAATAGTTTATTGTTTTGCCAGCTATTCAGAGTAACCAATGGTTTAGATGCAGGGCAGATTGAGGCCAGGCAGCTATGACCTGAAGAACACATCTGCCTGGCCCAGTTCTCTCTGCTTGATAGATATTAAATGAAGAAAACAGAGTGTATTTGGGGGAGATGGAACAAAACAAGGCAAAGGTTTCTAAAGAATTCCCCAAGTACGAACTTAGTTTGAAGTGTTTTATTAAATCCCAACAAGCCCATTACAATAATTTCCACACCTTTACAAAGAAAAACATAATTGTCCATGTCCAAATGTTCTAAAGAAGGCAGCCAGTTCTCAGTTCCCAGTTCCCCAGATACTTGATTACCCTTCCCCATTGATCTTACATGGTTTTCTCCAGCAATCAAAAAATCCCGTTGTATTCACCCAGTTGATTTTTGCAAATGCAACTAAAGAGTCTGAACTCAGCATAGTCTTCAAGCCTCTTAAACCGTGCCAGCAACCCAAGAGCTCTCGTGGAGTTGTGTGGGTGGAGTAAAACAACATTTTGAAAAACAGACTCCAAGTGATAGTTCAGCTTAGTTACAGAGTACTGCGGGTTTATTGCTTTTAATTTTAATGAAGAGATGAATAGTTTCAAAGGGAAGGGAGTACTGAATGTTATAACTGACAAAAAAAGCATCAGGGTCAGCTCCAGTAAAGTACATGACTCCCTGGGTAGTTTCACACACACTCAAAGCCAGGACAGGATGGCAGAGCTCCCAAGGAGGGAGAGGGAGCTCCTCTCTTTTCCTGCCTTGTTCCTGTCCCTGCACCAACCTCTCCTTTGAGCCAGCGTAAGTATGTGTGGCCTCAGATTGAACCAGACCAGGGAAGTGACACTGGTTAGGACTAAACCATCAAAAAAAAGCAAATAATGTTTGTGTTAGCAGAAAGGAAGATGCAATACTTGAGTAGCCTGGGGAGAGAAACAGGATGCTTTTTTAGAGGCCATGCTGGCTTAAAATCTATTTAAACTGCAATTCTATAAACTAGAGTTTATAGACATATAAAGCATAGTCCTATGATCTCTTGTTTAACTGAACTATGGGATTTCCTTAACTCTAGTTTGAACTAGAGCATATCTTTTAGCAAAAAATTCCATCTTGATAAGATGCCAGCAATGGCATGCAGAATTTGCATTAGTTCATAGTTTCAATGCTCAAAACATATGCTTTATTTCCACTTTGAAATAAATATTCAGGCATTGAACTTACTGTTGTGTAAGTCTAAGAGCTCATTCTCAGTCACGCCTTTTCTACATCAAGATATAACAACTCATTTTGGATAACTCGAGGGCATATTTCTGGATTCTTTAATCACTTTTACAGCTTTCTCTGAAATGTCTAAATTTTATCTCCTTGAATGTAGGCACTAGAAGTGGGTAAAACGTTCCAGTAACAACTGCACTGAGCTAAGCTCTACCACTTAATACATGGATCTTGTATGGATCTTGCTAATGGATGGATTCGGTAACTGGGTGTACTGGATCTTGTTACAGATCCTGTAACAGGCTTTAAAACCTATTACCATTGTAAGTACTGAATAGTAGAAAGTCATGGTCCTGTGATCTTTTTATCTGTCACCTAGGAAGGTGCCCTGCTACAGAGAAATTGATATTCATACAGTTAAAACCTCTCACCCTCAAGGTGGAGGGTGATGATTGAACTATGTACTGGGAGCAGATCTTTGCCTGTTCAAGCTCTCACATCATGCCTAGGAATTGATGGAGGAGCCAAGGAGACAAACCCATGCCAAGGATCTCTCCATAATTTAACAGCATAAATAACTAAGTTCTAGAAGTTCAGAAACATACCCAGCACTGTGAGGTGTAGGGATTTTTGTCCTGAAACACTATCCACAATCCCAAAAGAAAGGATATGACAACCCTCCGTATGTTTTCAAAGCTGGCAATAGAATGTCATCTGACTTCTTGAGAAAGTCAAATGTTTTTCTTAATAAATCTAGTTGAAAATAATACAAGAACACGCAGTGTCAGATCAACATTCTTGAGGTTATTTTGAACTCCAGTAAATTACAGCTGTTTCTAAACATATCAAATTGCAGGTTCTCACCTACAGATTTTGGTTTTGGAGAGTTTGGTATGTTTTGATCTGCTTTTGGAGCACGAAGACTCCTCCACAATATAAGAAACAGGTATCTGCCTCTTTCAGTAGTTAAGTTAAAATAGCAATGGGTATTTAAGAATGTCAAAATGGAAAGAAGGATAATCATTACTTTCAAGTTGATCTCCTTGGACTTGAATCCTGTGGCAAATATTATTTCTTTACTGAAAGGGGGGGAAACACTGCATCAAATAAGACCATGGTTTTTTAGCACTGGAGAAGAAACAAACCATGAGAAATATGGCTGCCTACAATGTAGCAATTTTCTTCAAAAAACTCTGCTGTTTTTCCAAAATCTAAACCCTGAGGGTTCATGCTGACGGTATTTCTGTCAAATGTAGAAGAGACAGAGGTCTTATAGCCCAGATGTCGCTTCATACAGAGAGGTGCTGTAAAAAATACGAGTGCTGTTAGAAAAAAGAGTGAGGAATGTTCTTCATGCAGTCTCTGTGGAAAGGATGCTGTACACAGTGAATCACTTACAACGCACTCAGTTCCATAGTCTTGATGGAGACACAAGTGGCTGCGCAATTAAAATGGTTTTAGATAGGTTGAAAAAGAGAAAGGGACTCTAACTGCAAAATGCAAACCAAACACATTGACAGCCATTTCCTGTCTCTGGCTTGGCACACCTGGATCAGCCATGCTCCAGCTCCACTTCAGTATCAGGACTTTTGATGGATTTGGGTCATTTGAACCAGATGAAATAGTGCTGTGGCCAGCACTCCCTGATGCAGTGTAAGTTTTCCATCAAAACTCACAAATAGCCTTACTACCACAAATCAAATGAAGTAACCACTCTACCAGCATTTTATATAGGATGTAATTTTGTGGCTGGATTCACCCATGTGCACCCAAGATACTTCTACTGACCCTTTTGCTCTATTTTACTGCTGAACATGAAGGAAAGCATTCAGGAAAGTTACACTCTGGCTTCACCCTGTCTTTTTGTCTTGCTTCAATTTAGGGGTTGTCTCTAGCTCTTAAAGATATTTCACTGAGCATGGACTTATTCTGTGTGTTCTGCAGGCGAGAAAACACACCCCAACACTGACCTTTTGATGACTGTATCCTCAGGAGAATGTTAGTTATTACTGCCTTCTTCTCCCTGACAGTGGAAGTTAGATATTCGTGGTCCAGAAGTTCAAGAAACAGGCGCAGCTCAACTATTAACTCTTCCATGGCTGAAAGACAAAAAAACTGAATTACTTTTTCTAAATAGTCCCATTAGAAAAAAGACAGAGTTAATTCTCACTTATCCACATTCATAGTTATTTTCTAGCATTTCTTAAAAATGTATGATCCTCCCTGCTGGAAACATACTTTAACATTATTAAACATCAGTAGAACCAACAGAATAGTCCATGAGTGAGCACTACTGGCATTTATACTGGTTATGTCAAAACTGACAGACATATCTCTTCACACACCACACAATGCAGCCAGAACTAATCAAATGTTATGTGCAGGAATGGTGGCCATGAGCCTTTCTACAAGTGCTGCTCTGGTTCTCCTCCCACTAACAATCTGCAAAATTTCTAACTGCAGAACAAATTCAAAGTTTAGTAAAGCTTCTAACATCACTGATATTTTCATGAATCTTCAGGGAAAAAAATCTCTCCCATATTTCTTTTGCTTGCTGTGGTAAAAAAAAAAAAGAGCAGGTATTCCCTTTTTGCAGTACTTTTTCTTTCTTATAATCTCCAAAGACAAGCTCCCAACCTGTTGCATATTTTCTTATCAGTCCACAGATTCCTGATGATGCACTTCATATTTCATCCTTTTTATTATTCCAGCTCTCAAGGCTTTCCAGCTCACCCTATAAAAACTGACATTCCTTCTCTTTATTTCCAGTGCATCTCCATTTTTTATCAATGAACCTTATAAGCACATTTCTACTTTCTTCTTTTCAAATTACCCCTAAAGACCTGCATTGTCCCAATAAATGCAGCAGCTCAGAAACACCTGTGTTACAGCCTAATCATAGGGTATCTCTTCAGCAGGTTTATGAGAAGCCCATGGTATTGAACTGCATTTTCATGCTTTAGTTCTCTCATAATTCTGAGATTTTCTGGTCCTTACACTGAAGTGGATGCACTACTTATTGTCTTGGTTTCATCTTGATAGAACAGTTCACATTTCCATACTTTCTGAATCCAATGACATTATCCTTACTAAAAGATGAGGAGAAACATCTATTTCATTTCAGAGCCCCACCTAGGATTAATCTCAGTCCATCCTCATTCCCAAATCCCTCCACTCAAATTTTTCTCTATTTAATCACATTTGATTTTAGTCTTTTCAAGAGCTAACAGGACAACTGCTGCTAAGCCTCTTCAGACTTCTAAAAAAGAACATTCTTTGCTGCTTACTCCCTTACCAGCTCTTCCCTACTCAAACTTTTCTGATTCAGTCGTTTACCCAGTGAACCTGGAATACTTTTTTCCATTTCTGAGAATGTGTCTGGATGCTTAAACAACTCTTGCTCAAGATGCATTTGCTTTATGCTACACTTGACAACAGCACAGTGCAGGGAAGCCTGCAGATGTCAGCTACATTCCTGCAAGGATCTGTTGGCCTCTTCTTGTCTCCAACGAATGCAGATTTTCCCATTTGTTTGCAGATTGCACCTGCAAGTGTGCGCTGGTTGCTCTGGCAAACTGAACATACTTCTAGCAAGCACAGAAGACATGCCAGTCAGCAACACCAGAGCATGATCTCCATAGAACCATTTAGCTTGGAAAAGACCCTTTAGATCACTGAGTCCAACTATTAACCCAGCACTGTCAAATCCACAACTAAACCATGTCCATAAGCACAACATTCATGTGTTTGGTTATTTTTCCAGGAATAGTGACTCTACCATTTCCCTGGGCAGCCTGTTCCAATGCTTGACTACCCTTTCAGGGAAGAATTTTTTTCTTAATATCCAATCTAAACCTCCCTTGGCTCAACTTGAGGCCATTTCCTCATGGGAAAAGACTGATACCCACCTCACAACAACCTTCTTTCAGGTAGTTATAAACAGTGATTAGTTCTCCCCTGAATCCCTTTTCCTCCAGGCTAAATAATCCCAGCTCCCTCAGATGGTTCTTGTGCCCCAGATCCTTCACCCTCAATTTGCTCAAAGACACCATTAACTTGCATGTCTAATTCCATCCTGTTCTTTCTTGGTGACTATTCAACAGAGCAGATGCACTGCCATTGTATAAAATGTCCATATTTTCAGGAAATATGTTTCTCAAAGATTTTCACAATATATATGCAGCAAGAAGGTATTCAAAATGAAAGGAAAACTTCTATATCACTTTGCAATGTAGTAATGAAAAACATCCCGTAGCTACAGGCTATTTTTTTTTGCCATCACACTTATAGCTGTCTAAGCTGTCTAGAAGTCCATCAGAAATCCAAAGTATTTCACAACAAGCCTATTACTTCCAGAGTTGTTCACATTATGGAACAACAACATATATACTTCCAGCATAGAGTTTTCTGAAGCACAAAGTTATAGGTTCAGATTTGCAAAGTGATAATGATCACAAGACCCAAAGAGGAAAAGAAAGAAAGGATCTATGATGTAAAGAAAACAAAACAAAACAAAAAGTCCAAATATTCAGCTCCTAGTTTTTGGGGTTTTTTTAATCATACAGTTTAGAAAGAAGATGTATATTCCATTATGTGTACAGTGGTCTCTTGTTTTTAAGTATGCTTTGAATATGCTTGAAGATGCATTAATAGTGTTGTAATAACTTTATTTTAATTATGGAATATATGAATATTTTAATATTTAATTTGTTCTAATACATGCCTTTCAAAAGCTATCAGTACCACAGAATCTAGGCATTGTGAAACCTAATCAGCACACAGTACAAGAAATATATATTTTTCAAGTCGTTCTAGAGCCACATAAAATACTGTCAGTAATTGCATATATTAGTGCACTGAAATATCTTTGCAATGGCATGTTTTCTGGTTTCTTTAGGGCAAGGGACTGTATATAGGCTGAAAGGGAGCTCTCCCTTCTGCTTTTCACCAAAGGATATCCTGTGCCACAGTGCCCTGTGTCTTTGCTGAGAACCTTCACTTCTGGGAAGGGAGAAGAGGATGAAAGCATCAGATACCATTGATATGCTAAGTGTGCGTAACTGTGCTCAGTTATTAAAAATTATCAGATCCTTGCTCTCAGTAGTTTATAATCTAGCATAAACAGATGGATTGCAAAATGAGAAATGGAAACAGAGCATGAGGGACCTTCAAGGCAAATAGACAAGGAAGCAAGAGGAGAGGAGATAGGAAACCACTGCTGGAGAGACTCCTGGGAGCTGGCATCAGCCCACGTCTCTCCCAAGGCCTTGTACCACAAATGTGTGACCTTCCCCTGTGTCTTTGGAGGAAATCTGCATTGCAGTCCCTGGTGAAACCTGCCCAGGGACCTATAATGACCAAGGCACCTAAGGTATTAGGAGCAATTTAACTGCCCTAGCAGAGGATTTAAGAAAAACACACTTTGGTTAGGACTGGTAAGAGGATGGTAAGATGAACCTGATACCAGTGAGACAAGGAACTGAAAACTGTTTTTTCCAAAATGGCAACAAATAAACTTGTATGTTCTCAGGAAAAATAAGTTTGTCTGTTGTCAATCCTTGGCTGGTTTTCTGAATTAAATAATCTTCTTTTCTCCTTCCTAGAAATGTGATGATGTGCTCACAAAAAAGTAATGGAACTGAATAATAGAAAATCCATATAATGCATATTTTCAGTAAGCAATCATTGCTTCTTAAAGGGAGACTCAAAAGGAGTGGATGATGCAAGTCCCAAAGAAAAACATATTCCTCCAGTGAGAGACTGCCCTTGGAAATCTGACATCACCACAAAATCAGAACACTAATCAGAAGAAGGCTTGCAAAGAGGGGCCAATTTATTTGACAGTTTTTGCTGTATTCTCATTGCCAAAGGAATTACTTGTAAGTGGCAGGTGGTGAAAGGCAGGGTGGAGCCCAGGGATGGTAATCACAACAGTAAGCAGATTTTAGCTTGACTGAGGAGCAAAATCACATTCCATATTAAACAATGAGAAGTCCATTTTATGCTCGATAGGAATTATAGGCCCCTAATGGGCTGCTGCAATTGCCATGCACAAATAAAAAAACAATGATACATGCAGAATGGTTTCCAAGATCAGCTCTCAAGAGTTTTAAAGTTTTTCAAATGGCAGCACATAAAAACTATACACACAAGCCAGCAATGGAATACACCAAGGTGAAAATAATCAGTGGAAGAGAATTACATCACACTGTAGATCTTGTTCCAAACCAGAACTAAAACCAACTGGGACTGAAAAAGCATGATGATGCAATTATTCCAAATCTATGTTTACGGGTACTAACCTATAACCATTTTAGAAAGAATATAAAGTTTTCACTTCCAATTGATTGGAAAAAAATCATAGGAGTGGTACTATATCACACACATGATTTCAAGGTTGCTTAAACCAGAAGAAAAGACAAGGACAAGATCATCAGTAAAGTGGTCAGATTAGTTTTTGGTCGCTCACTGCAATTACAGTATGTCTTCACTCTGCCCTGGCACAAATGACTTGAAAGTGTTTTCCACTTGACTAACATACACTGATGAGCTTTTAAAGAAAAAGAAACGCAAATCCAGGAAGGATGACAGGAAGTTTGTTTATTAATTATGGCCTCGTCCATGCAATGCAAACCCCACACAAAGTAAATGCACTTCCATGCTTGTGTGTCTATTATAAGTGCATGTATGAAAATACATCAGTATAGAAATCATAGCAACATGAATTAAAATTAAGCTTCAACTTTTCAGACAACCCTCTTGATCAGTTCCTTAAACATTACTGGACCAAATTTCTCTGCGTTTAAATTTTCTATTCTCTCTTTAGCTTGTAATTTGCAGATGTTGAAGGCCAGAACAGACCATGTCAATGAGATCCACTACAAGGAATCATCTAATCTGACTTTCTATAAAACACAGGCCAGAGACTTTCATCATGCTACTCCTCTGTTTGTGGAGAGATGTGTATTTACCTGAAGTACATCCTCCAGGAAAACCCAAAATCTATGTTAGCATTTTGTGCCCTGGTTTCATGGGAGAAGCATCCCATTTAACTTTGGAAATTTGGTTGGATATATGTATAATATTGATGCCAATCTTCAAG